CAGATCACAATACTTGGCAGTAGGTTATTTCATCGTAATGCTACATTGCATATGTCTCAGTGGCAAGAGATTAAGAACCATGATTAAAAACACACAGGGCATGATGATACCACATCAAATAGATAATGCTTCATGTAGAAGAAATAATAGTTTGATTCAACATTTATATATTTAGACACTTGGATTTGTATATGTAGTGGCTATTCTCAATCACAAATTGATTTTTCACTTACTAAAATTCCATTCTTATCTTATTGTCCATATCTTACTTTTCCATTAAAGAATGATTCTGTATTTCAGCAAAACCAATTTAGAAAACTTTCTGCCAACTAATAAGGCTGTTGGAGAAACCTATACTTTTGGTTTGGTGTGCAGTGGTGGTACATTTTTTATGATCATATGAGACGAATACTGAGATGGAGAAACTCCAATTTCTTTCCCTGTCCTCTAATTACAGATGCTGAAGTTGATGCTTCCATTACATATTGCCGAGAGAGAATGAAAATATGCCTTCATTGGCTACTGTACTTAGAATGGTTCCTAAAACTAAGCAAGAAAACCACAGTGTTCTTGGCAGGCAAACAATTGAAAAGTACAGGTGCTGGGAGTGTGCACAGCCCCAAAATCAACATGACTTGGGAGGGGAGGCGGTTAGATAACAAAGAAAGGTGCTTTTCATTCAGAGAAATTTATTTCTTTTAAATATTTGCAATCTGCAGCCGATAGCACATGAGGCCACTTTGCATTATTTCCCAACAAAGGGGAGGGATGGTGGTAATAAGCAGATGCTTGAGTGGCCTGTGGCGTGAGGTGCACCATCCGTCAAGAAGATCAATATTTACTGTTCTTGTATCGTTGTGGTGAAAGAACACACACATCTTAAAAAAAAGGGGTGGGGGTTGTGCTTTAATATATAGAGCATGGGTTTGATTTCAGGCAGTGAATCAACTAAAAGTCACGGTCTTCACAGAGAGGAATCAGTACCCATCGCCCCTGCCCAATGAAGAAATGTAAGGTGTTTTAAGGAATAAGATGCATCTGGCCCATGATGTGGGCCATCTTTGTCTCCATTCATTTTTTCATTTCAGTAAATCATACCCTGATGAAAGGTACAATTTGAATATGATACTGCATTTCAAAGTTTGTTTTAAAACATAGATTACTTCCATTCAGTTAAATTCAACATATATCAGTGAAGCAGCATGACTTATGTAATACGGACTGTGCTAGGCACTGGGCTGACCAAGATGAAGATGAGGCTCACTGCCTTAGCTCTTTGGTGCCTCAGTTTTCCTACTTTGTCATACTTGGATCATAGAGAAGGCAGTCCTGTTAGATGGGGTTAGGGGCAAGAGATAAATAGATGGTGGGTCATGACCAGCCTCCCATACCATAGAAAGGATTTTGTGTTTGATTCTTTAGGTCAGAGTGTGATGGGCTGGGGATTTGTTAAAATTCAGATCCTGATTCAGTAGGTTTTAGGGTGAGGCCAGAGAATCTTCATATCTAACAAGCTCCCAGGTGAGGCTGGTGATGCTGGATCCTGAGCCACACTTGGAGAAATAAGAAATTGATCACTTGTATCAGTCACCCAGGATAACTGCTAAAAGTACGCATCCCTGGGCTTATCCCTTTAGACATATGTGAATCAAAATTGGCATGTTTACCAGGTGATTTTTATGCATGGTATAGTTTGAGAACCACTATTTAAATGGTGAGAAATCAATGAACACTATTAAGTAGGTCAGTGCCAAATTTAGACATGGGTTTTAGAAAGATAATGTGAGAAAGAGAATTCCATGGAGATGAACTGCAAGCAGGGATGTGGATGAAGATGTTAATAGGTGGCAGAGGACTGCAGAAGAGGGAATGGGACTGGGGAACATTGAGAGAGTGAGGTTGACAGGAAATGGCTGTGCATTGATTTGAAGGATACGGGAGGAAGAGGAGGCCTGAAAGATCTTCTAGGTTCTCGTTTGGACACTTATATTGCTGGCTGTGCTGACTCTAAAATGAGGAAGCACTATGGAATGGGGTTAAAAACATGGGCTTTGGCGTAGGAAAGTGGATTCGAGACTGGCTTTCAATACTACTTCTATAGCTTTGATAAGTTACTTAGTTTTTCATCCATAAAATGGGGGTGATAGTTGTTGCAGGGTAGCATTAGCCCCATTTTGCAAAGGTAGAAACAGGAATAGTGAAGGTAAGTTGTCCCAGCTTGTACAAAGAGTGGGGTGTGGTGATGAGACTTGGATGTGGGCCTTCATGATTCTACAGCCCCTGCTCTGAATTATCACCTCTAAGATTGCCCATGAGCAGATACTGTCTAGATGGACAGTGGCTGTAACCAAGTTAGGAAAATCATTCTTCTCTCATTTTACTTTCTTTCAAGGTCTCTCTTGGTATCACTGCTGTTCCTGTGGTTCTCCTCTCTCTTCAAAATGGTAGAAATTCTCTCCTTTTCAGTTATTTTAGCTTATCTTTGATGGTTTTTAAAAAAGACTTTACTAAATATCAAACAAATATAAAGAAAGAAAATGCTAGCAGCAAAAAAGTCTTATGATGTATAGGTTTCTGACTCTTCTTTAGTTAATCTTCCCTGCTCCATGACTAGCATAACTGGACTGGGTCTCTCAAGTCCCACCTGCTTCCTGCCATTTAAGGGGTGTGTATCTTCTTAAGCTTTCTTCTCTGCCTCCTTGGTCCACAGTCATGGAAAAGAGAGAGAGTTCCTACTCCAATGCCCTCCTAGGACCCTCCCACTTAGCTTATAGTTTCTGGCTTGAGTCACAAACATTTTCCTAAGGGTAGAGTTGGGTGAGTGAGAGGCCATGTGAAGTGACAAGATGAAAACCTTACCCTTTCGATAAGACACTATTGCTCATGCAGGCATGATTTGATCTTATACAGACTTAGTAAGTTAATGCTATCCTGATAACATAATATTAATAGTATCTAAACAGTACTATCCATACATTAATATCCAATATCCAAATCTATATAAATCTAAATTGATAATATCTAATTATATCCAAACAACAAAAATTACACATCAATACTCATGGAAAGTTGGTTCTGATTACACATTTAATGAGTGGTTTTTATTTATTTATATTATTAGTTTTTAACTTTTATTTTAGTTCAGGAGTACATGTGCAGGTTTATTACATAGGTGAACTGTGTACCAAGAGGTTGGTGTACAGATAACTTCCTCAGCAGATAATACATATAGTACCTCATAGCGTATTTTTTTCTGATTATTTCCCTCTTCCCACATTCCACCCTCAAATAGGCCCTAGTGCCTCTTGTTCCCTTTCTAGTACCCATGTTTTTTGTGGTTTAGCTTCTACTTACAAGTGAGGACACGTGGTATTTGGGTGTCTGTTCCTGTGTTCATTTGCTTAAGATAATGGCCTATAGCTTCATCCACATTGTTGCAAAGGACATGGTAACATTCTTTTTTAAATCTAGTCCAACACTGATAGGCATTTGGATTGATTCCATGTCTTTGCTATTGTGAGTAGTGCTGCAATGAAGATACACTTGCTTGTGTCTTTATGTTAGAATGATTTATATTCTTTTGTGTATATATATCCAATAATGTGATTTCTGGATCGAATGACAATTCTGTTTTAAGTTCTTTGAGAAGTCGCCACACTGCTTTCCACAATGGCTGAACTAATTTACACTCCCACCAGCAGTGTGTAAGTGTTCCCTTTTCTCTGCAATCTTGCATCTGTTATTATTTGACTTTTAGTAATGACTGTTCTAACTGGTATAAGATAGTATTTCATTGCAGTTTTGATTTTAATTTCTCTAATGATTAGTGATGCTGAGCATTTTTTCATGTGCTTGTTGGCCACCTGTATGTCTCATTTTGCGAAGTTTCTCCTTGGGTCCTTTGCCCATCTTTTAATGGAGTTGTTTGTTTTTTGCTTTTAAATTTGTTTCAGCTTCTCATAGATTCTGGATATTACACCTTTGTAGGAAGCATAGTTTGCAAATATTTTCTCCTATTCTGTATGTTGTCTGTTTACTTCGTTGGTAGTTTCTTTCACTGCGCAGGCTCTTTAGTTTAATTAGATCCCATTGGTCAATTTTTGTTTTTGTTGCAATTGCTTTTGGTGTCGTTCTCATGAAATCTTTGCCAAATCCTGTGTCCAGAATGGCGTTGCCTAGGTTATCTTCCAGGGTTATTATTGCTTTAGGCTTTAGAATGAGTAGTTTTTAATTTGAATCAAATTGGATCCTTATTTATGAACTTATTTCATATTATTTATCTAATATCTTTATAGCTCTTCCTCCTCTTTATTTTCTGTTTTTGTTATTTCAAAGTGACAAAACTTGATTTAAGAGCCTCCTCTTTTCTACCTTCTGACCCCCTTCCCTATCTCCTGCCTCTCCACTCTCTGACGTGTACACTGGCTCTTCCCAGTGCTTGCAATGACTCTCATCTAAGACCTCACATGGCTACTCTATCTCTGCCTGTGAATCCTTGTTTTCATGTCACCCTGTCTGAGAAGGTATCTCTTATTTTTGTATATAAATCATTGCACTTCCCTAAACATTTTTCCTTTAACTTCATCATGTTTTTCATCTTAGCAATAGAAAAATCACCATCCAATCTATTATAGATATATTTGTTTATTTCTTGTCACCCTCCACTAATATGTCAATTTCATGAGGGCAGAGACTTCACTCTTGTAGCCCCAGTGTCTAGAATAATATCTAGCATATAGTGTAACTGAATAAGATTTTTTTCAGTGAACAAAGAATTAAGTTAATTAGCCTCTTTAATGAATACATAACAGGAATGTGCATGTAAAGGAACTAGAGTCAACTGTGATCATTTTCAGGATCGTTTCATTTAAAGAATAAAGAAGCAAAAATATTTTTAAAATATCATTTACTTTAGGGAAGTAAGAGTATTAGGTGGCATGAATTATTTTGGAACCATTGACCTAATTTTATTTTGTGTATTTTCCTCCTCTATCTTACAGCACATCCCTCGTTATGAAAGAACTGCAGTGCCCTGCTCCAGATTCATTAATCACATGAAGAATTTCTCTGAATCTCTTCAATTTCGTAGTCTACAGTTTCTAAATTCTCCTGATAAATTAAGACGTAATCCCAAGAAAGACCATAGCTTCCAGAGAAACTCTGGAGCATATACAGGTAATAATCATAAAGATTTTATTAAAAAATGCTTACTATCTTTCAAAATGGCAACAAAAGAGGGAATTCATTGGCTCATGAAGTTAACAAATCTGAGGGTGGACTGGCTTCGGGTATGGCTGGATCCAGTGTTCACCAATAATATCATGATTTATTTCATTTTATTCATTTCCTAGTTGTCTTCACTAAGTTGGGTTTATTTTCAGAAAGGATAGCAATAACATGCCCTGGCAGCTATAGGCATATCTGATTTTTAGAGTTTGTAATTTCAAAAGTACAGAAACCTCCTTGTTTTATTCATCTACAACAGTCTCCACTGTTTATCCAATGGCTGTGATTAGCTAAACTTGGGTCTTTTGTTCACCCTCGGAATCTGGGTAGCTTGGAGAATGGAAAACACCAGTCAACTTTTGCTACTTCTGAGACAGGGGAGGGAGGCCACTTGATTGATAGCTGCACTTAAATTACACAAAATGTGTGTGTAAAGTGTGTGTGTGTGTGTGTGTGTGTGAGAGAGAGAGAGAGAGAGAGAGATAGAGGCAGATAAAGAGAGGGGGATGATTTCCCTAAATAAACTGATATAGGGCAAGCAAAAGAACATCATTTTGTGTCAAGCCAAAATGATGCATAATTATATTAGTTATATTTCCCATAACACTGGCACCATAGATTATTTTTGATAACTTGGGACTGTCCATAAACTCCATTTTTAGGACCATTTTGCTGACCTGAAAGGATACATTTAAATGTACCTGTTCAACTTATTACCTAATAGAAAACGAAGTTTTTAGGACAACTGATAAAGGAGGTAACTGCTACATTTTTATTTGAACAATTTATTATTTTAGAATGTATTTTTTCATTCACTTGTATTTATACATGAATGAAATTCATTACATATGTATTCATATGAGGGCCATTGAAAGTTTTGTTGATTTTTATAATGGTTTCAAACTCTTGGAATAATGTAATTTAAATCAGTTTTCTTTTTGAGAATCACATTGTGCTACACACTCAAATTCTACTTAAAAAGAACTGAAAATTTTTTTGGGGGGGAATAACACATTTACATGGTTCAAAAACCAAAAATATAAAGAGGCATATAGTAGACAGTCTTTTTCCTACTTCTGCTCCAATCTGCCTTATTCCCCTTTCTCCCATGTGGAGACACTTTTACTGTATTCTTGAGAATCCTGCAACTTTCTCTAAGCAAATAAAAGTGTGTTTATGAGCGAATGGAAATGTGCAGGTGAGCAGCAGTATTCTGCACCTCACAGTCTTCACTTATCATGGTATCTTGAGGCTCTTCCCACATCAGTGCATTGAGTGCTTTCTTATTCATTTTTCTTTTCTTTTTTTTCTTTATTTCTTGTATTTTTTTATTTCCATAGGTTTTTGGGAAACAGGTGGATTTTGGTTACATGAGAAAGTTCTTTAGTGGTGATTTGTGAGATTTTGATGTACACATCACCAGAGCATTATACACTGAACCCAATTTGTATTCTTTTATCCCTTATGCCCTTCCTACTGTTTCCCCCCAAATCCTCAAAGTCCCTTGTATCATTCTCATGTCTTTGCATTCTTATAGCTTAGCTCCCACTTATGAGTGAGAACATATGATGTTTGGTTTTCCATTCCTGAGTTACTTCACTTAGAATAATAGTCTCCAATCCCATCCAGGTTGCCGTGAATGCCATTAATTCATTCCTTTTATGGCTGAGTAGTATTCCATTTTGCACACACACACACACATACACACATACACACACACATATATATACACATACATATATATATATCTCAGTATAAATATAACAGTATATATAACAGTCTATCTACTCATTGATTGATGGACATTTGGGCTGGTCCCACATTTTTGCAATTATGAATTGTGCTTCTATAAACAAACATGTGCAAGTATCTTTTTCATATAATGAAATAAACAGACAACTGTGGGTTGTCTGTTTATTCTGCTTACTGTTCATTTTGCTATGTGAAAGCTCTTAGGTTAATTAAATCCCACCTATTTATCTTTGTTTTTATTGCATTTCCTTTTGGGTTTTTGGTCATGAAATCCTTGCCTAAGCCAATGTCTAGAAGGGTTTTTCTAATGTTATATTCTAGAATTTTTATAATTTTGGGTCTTATATTTAAGTTCTTGATCCATCTTGAGTAGAATTTTGTGTAAGATGAGAGAGGAGTATCCAGTTTCATTCTTCCACATGTGGCTTGCCAATTATCCCAGCACCATTTATTGAACTGGATGTCCTTTCCTCACTTTATGTTTTTGTTTGGTTTGTGGAAGATCAGTTGGTTATAAGTATTTGGGTTTATCTCTAGGTTTTCTATTCTGTTCCATTGTTCTATGTGCCTATTTTTATACCAGTACCTTGTTGTTTTGGTGACTATGGCCTTATAGTATAGTTTGATGTTGGATAATGTAATGCTTCCAGATTTTTTATTTTTGCTTAGTCTTGCTTTGTCTATGTGGGCTCCATTTTGGTTTTGTATAATTTTTCTAATTCTGTGAAGAATGATGGTGGTATTTTGATGGGAATTGCATTGAATTTATAGATTGCTTTTGGCATTATGATCATTTTCACAACATTGATCCTTCTCATCCCTGAGCATGGGATGTGTTTCCATTTGTTTGTGTGATTTCTGATTTCTTTCAGCAGTCTTTTGTAGTTTTCTTTGTAGAAGTCTTTCACCTCCTTGGTTAGGTATACTCCTAAGAATTTTATATTTTGCAGCTACTGTAAAAGGGGCTGAGTTTTTTATTTGATTCTCAGCTTGGTCACTGTTGGTGTATAGCAAATCTTCTAATTTGTGTTCATTAATTTTATATACTGAAACGTTGCTGGATGTGTTTATCAGTTCTAGGAGCTTTCTAAAGGAGTCTTTAGGGTTTTCTAAGTATACAGTTGTATCATCAGTAAGCTGCAACAGGTTTGACTTCCTTTTTACTGATTTCAATACCCTTGATGTATTTCTCTTGTCCGATTGCTCTGGCTAGAACTTCCAGTACTATGTTGAATAGAAGTGTGGAGAGTGGGCATCTTTGTCTTCTTCCAGTTCTTAGAGGGAATACTTTCAACTTTTCCTTGTTCAACATTATGTTGGCTGTGGGTTTGTCATAGATGGCTTTTATTACATTGAGGTATGTCCCTTGTATGCTGACTTTGCTGAGGAGTTTAATCATAAAGGGATATTGAATTTTGTCAAATGCTTTTTCTGCATGTATTGAGTTTATATGAATTTTGTTTTTAGTTCTGTTTATGTGGTGTATCATATTTATTGACTTGGATATGTTAAACCATTCCTACATCTCTGGTATGAAACTCACTTGATCATGGTGGATTATCTTTTCAATATGCTGTTGGATTCAGTTAGCTAGTATTTTGTTATGGAATTTTGTATCTATGTTCATCAGGGATATTGGTCTGTAGATTTTTGTTATGTCCTTCCCTTGTTTTGGTATTAGGGTGATACTGGCTTCATAGAATGATTTAGGGAGGATTCCCACTTTCTCTCTCTTATGGAATAATGTCAATAGGATCAGTACCAATTCTTCTTCGAATGTGTGGTAGAATTCAGCTGTGAATCTGTCTAGTCCTGGATTTTTTTTCTGTTGCTGCTTGTTATTCATCTGTTCAGGGTTTCTAATTCTTCCTGATTTAAGCTAGGAGGGTTTTATATGTCTAGGAATTTATCCATCTCCTTTAAGTTTTCTAGTTTATGTGTGTATAAAGGTGTTCATCGTAGCCTTGAATGATCTTTTGTATTTCTGTGGTGTTGGTTGTAATATCTCTCATTTTGTTTCCAGTTGAGCTTATTTGGATCTTCTCTCTTCTTGGTTAATCTTGCTAATGGTCTATTAATTTTGTTTAGTTTTTCAAAGAACCAGCTTTTTTTCATTTATTTTGTATTTCTTTTTTGTTTCGATTTCATTTAGTTCTTTTCTTATCTTTATTTCCTTTTCTCTGCTGGGTTTGGGTTTGGTTTGTTCTTGTTTCTCTAGTTCCTTGAAGTGTAACCTAAGATTGTTTTTTTGTGCTCTTTCAGATTTTTGATGTAGGCATATAAGGGTATGAACTTTCCTGCTAGTATCACATTTGCTGTATCCAGCGATTTTTATAGGTTGTGTCACTATTATCATTTAGTTCAAAGAATTTTTAAATTATCATCAATTTCACTGTTGACCCAATGATCATTCAGGAGGAGATTATTTAATTTCCATTTATTTGCATGTTTTTGAAGGATTTTTGGAGCTGATTTCCAGTTTTATTCCACTGTGGTCTGAGAGAGTACTTGATATAATGTCAGTTCTCTTAAATGATTGCGACTTACTTTGTCACCTATCATATGGTCTATCTTGGAGAAAGTTTCATGCACTGATAAACAGAATATGTATTCTGCAGTTGCTTGGTAGACTCTTCAGTAAATATCTGTTAAGTCCATTTGTTCTAGGGTATAGTTCAAATCCATTGTTTCTTTGTTGACATTCTGTCATGATGACCTGTCTAGTGCTGTCAGTGGAGTATTGAAGTCCCCCACTATTATTTTGTTGCTGTCTGTCTCACTTCTTAGGTCTAGTAGTAACTGTTTTATAAATTTGGGAGTTCCAGTGTCTGGTGCATATATATTTGGGATTGTGATATTGTCCTGATAGACAAGGCCTTTTATTATTATGTAATATCCCTCTTTGTCTATTTTTAAAGTGTTGTTGCTTTATAGTTTGTTTTGTCTGATAACAATAGCTATTCCTGCTTGCTTTTGGTGTTCATTTGTAGGGAATATATTTTTCCACCCCTTTAGGTTAAGTTTATGTGAGCTGTGTGTGTCAGGTGAGTCTCTTGAAGGCAGAAAATACTTGGTTGGTGAATTCTTAGCCATTCTGTAATTCTGTATCTTTTAAGTGGAATATTTATGCCATTTACTTTCAACATTAGTATTGAGACATGAGGTATTAATCCATTCATCATGCTCTTTGTTGCCTG